ACCCTGCTTTCCAAAATACTCCAGACACAATAGTCCAACGGATTGGTATCCGGAGATTTTTGGTGGCAACTGTGCGCTGAAAATTAAGCGGCAACCTCATTTTTTAACCATTCTTGGGTGGTGCGTGCTGAGTGCGATGGTGCTGAGTCCTGTTGGAATGTCCAAGGTCTGCGGCCAAAATGTTTGAGTGCCCAATGCTTTATTACACCCTTCAGAATATTTTCGCGACAATTTTCGGCATTTATTCTGATGCCACGGTCGATTAATACGAGCAATTAATGGAGAGCGACCATCGTCTGTTATGGCGGCCCACACCATCACCATTGCCGGCGCTTGAGTTCTGGTAGCCAAACGAGGGTGCACATTTTCTGCTGACCTCTTTGGCAAGTAAACAAGATCATTTTGGTTATTTACAAACTGCTGGACAACGAATGTTTTCTCATCGGAGAAAACCAAATTCGGCAGTTCACCAATTATTTTCTTTCTGTTGCTGTGTAAGTTCTTGCACTTTTTGGATTTTCAATGGCTTTATCCCGAGCTCAGTTTTCAATATTTGCCGAATGGAATATTGCGATATGTTGAGCTCACAAGCCATTTTTCGGCCATTACTAAAAATAATTCGCACTATCACGCTTGAATTCCATCACGAATAACTTTTTTCTGGAAAATTCTAATCAAAATGCTTTTGTACGCTTGTAAACAATATAATGAGCTATTACTGGAATAATTTAACAGCTGTCTGGACGAGTGGCTTAGAAATGACAGCAGTCTGAAGTTGGTAGCAGCTTTTTCATCTCACCATGTACACTTGCACGGTTTTTTTGGAATTCTAATATGATGTGCAGTTTTTTAGGGTAGTACAAAGCGACAACCGACTATACTGTTATTTATAGATTTTATGTATTTATTGGGTAAGGATGCAAAATAAGGAATTATTTTCACCATATAAAAGAAAGTTATGTTAGTTACTACGCCTAAAACTTAAGAACGGCTTGACGGATTTTAACAAGTAATACAATTCTGGAATGGTATCTTGGCAAAAAAAAAAAAAAAATCGGTGAAAATATCGCAAAAAATGTGAGTAAAATAAATATGTTTGGCGTTTTTTTTTTTTTTTTTTTCAATTTTACATACTATATTGAAGTATACATTTTTTATTGTTTTGAATTTTGAATGAATAGTATTAAAAATGAAATGAGTGCGCAATACGATGTTAAATGGTGATCTTTCATGTCTAAAATTGGCATCTAGCTCTCAACACCAGGACCTTCATCGTGCCTCAGCTGGAAGATACGAACACATTTTAACAAACAACAATTAAAAAAGCTGTAAGTTCGGTCGGGCCGAACTTTGCATGCCCTCTACCATTTGTAACGAATTTAGCAATTCTTAAAAACAATAAAATCCGATAAAAAATTCTGTTAAAATCTTAAAAACACCGAATGCAGCTGTTATATTAGGGTCTATGCGACGACATGAACCTGCATAGGTAATATTTGTCAAGAGCCATTACAATACAATTACATATATTCAATTGCGAAACTTAAAAAAAAAACGGTAGTAATGTAGCTAAAATCATCAAAATACCGAATATCGGGAGGTACCGTTATATGTGGCTATACGAAGACGTGGTCCTGCACAGACAATCTCCTGTCATAGGCTGTAGCATCAATTACGAACATCAAATTCCGAATTTAAAAGAATTCCGGTGAATAATGTCGCTAAAATCAACAAAGTGCCAATTATAAGGGCTATACCAAAACGTGGACCTACATGGCCCATTTTCAATACCAAAAGTCCTGCAGACATAACACACATTTGAGTAAAATTTTATCAATTTACTTCAATTCGTTCGGAAGCTAGAGTGATTTCTACAGGCGGACATAAGTCGAAATAAAATTATATGCTTTGTGGTTTCAAATATGTATATTTCGGGGCGTTACAAATATAATATACCCTCCATATTAAATCGCTTTTGCAGGTATAAGGATACAACCCGATTTCGAGTATATTTTACATTTTAACCATATTTTTGATACTAATTTCGGCAAATGTTGGTAATTTGAGAAGAAACTATCTTTGCAAAAAATGATAACCACTATATGATTTAAGCTATTTTCGGGTCTTCGCCACTTCTTTAATTTTATTTGGCACTTAATTAATGACTTTTTTTCTAAGGGTGTAGAAAACGTCTTTTCATAAAATTTTCAATTTTTGGAGTAGGGTTCATCTTGGTCTTGACCACATTTATCAATTGATTTGTGCAAAAAATTGTAATTAGGCTACTCTAGGGTAGAGAATCATCTACGGGTGATTGTCCACATAGGCATTTATTTAAGTGTAGTCTCCACATTACGTGTACCCCAAACTACACATTCCAACCAAATGTGGGGTCAGAAATAAAAATCTTGTATTTTATTGAATTTGTTATCCGCAAGAGAATATTGGTGGTGAACGTATATTTGGGATGTACGTCTATATAAAATAAACTCCGAAATGTCAAACTGGGACTCATTCAGTCGAAAATTGTGAAACATGAGAAAATTTACGAATATTATCGTCATTGAATTATACTATGATGACAAATATGGACTTTATTTCAATGAAAAAAATTAATTCCATTCTTACGGCAATGGGTGTAAAAGAGTAATTATCTTTGACCAATTATGAGGTGGACAAAACTAAATACCACGAAGCACGTTACTCTAAACGTTGGAAATACAAATTCCAAATTACACCTAATTTGAATGGAAAAGGTTGCTAAGCTCTTTGCAATATCAAAAATTGAGCTGAGTTTCCATATGGGACTATTATAGATGTTTTAGGCTTCCAACGCTCAAATTAAGGACTAAGTCTGAAAAATAAGATCCGGATTTTCAAAATATATCTATAACCGACGGTAGGTGAACATCTATTAGAAATTTTGCCATGAATATTTATTACTATGTAGAAATCACTATGGAGTCATTACTTATAATAAGAATTGTGCCGCTTACATAAGTCAGATCTGTGATTTATTATGATTTAAAGAATATGCGTTAAAGACTTAAAGTACGGGCCGGCAATGCGGACCGGGCCTGCTAGTAATTATAAAAATATATATAGCCATTTTTCTACTAACATTAAATCCATTGTTAATTTGGGAGATGTAGCCTTACACCTACATGTTCGCCCGTCTATTGTAATCACAGCATGTGATAGTAGTATCGTCTGCGGTCAGGCCAAGTCCGAAGAAGGGCAATATCGGTCGAAGTTTTCATATAGCCTCCATATTATTGTATCTTTTCATATTCGGCATTTTGTCGAACTTTCTAACGGAATAGTTTACAATTCGGTATTTTAAGTTTGTAATGTGATCCACCTCTTGTGGCAAAGCTTTGTCTATATAGATCCACTTTTTCGTATAGCCCCCATATAATTTTACTTCTCGATATTCGAAATTTTGACGATTTCATTTTTCATTTCATTTATTTAATAGATTTAAAGATGTGGACCGGACTGGAGACGATAAAATCCTTTTAATTATATTAGAGGAGCAGTAAATGCCAGTTAATATACTATCAAATCGATCGATATAAATCTGACCCGATATGAAATGAATGTTACAGGTAGTATAGAGGGTATATTACTTGTCATTTCGCGTTTCAAATTTGAAATTTAAAGTTCCTAATGGGTACTACATCCAATATCAAAGAAAATTCTCATTCAGATCCACTTCTTCGTATAGCCCCCATTTAACGATTTGGTATTTTGATAATTTTAGCCAAATATCGTAATGGCCTACGACAGAAATTGCGTTTACAGTTCCATGTCTTCGTATAGGCCCCAAAATAACAGTAATTCTTTATATTCGGAATTTTTATGATATTAGCAGTATTTTTCAACATATTTTTTTACATCACCGAATCTTACCGTTTTGAAAGATTTTTTTCCCAAATATGATTCGATTTCAATGACAGTGATAAAAGTTTTTAGACTCGTACCGAATATCACTATTGTAGTATATACTAGTGAATATACAGGCGAAGAAATTCTACCACCGTTTATCTTCCAAAAAGTTGGATCACCAGATTCTAAAATATTAAAAATAACAACAACTGTAGGATATTCGACAGTTATAAATTATTCCATAATATTATATAGGTGTGCATTATATGAAGACAAAATACGTCATTAATCCTGTGCAATTCGTGAAAACTATGAAATGTGTTTTCGATGCCGAACTAAGTCTATAATTCAGATATATGATGAGATCATAGAGAGGAATTATTGGTCTGCGGCAATTTCATGCGAAAGATCAGGTAAAAACTCCAGGATCCAAAAAAATATATATTTGAATATTTTGTCTGTCCCCTCTTATAAAAGGAGGGAGCGTAAGGGCCAAAAAGAAGTCAATACATTCAATTTGCTTCGCATAATTTTGCATCGCATATATACCGCTTGTGAACGAATCGAAAACCCCGCCACTGGACTCGGAAAATTCTTGGAAAATTGTCTGTGAGAGAAATAGTATTTTACTAATAGTGTACAATCAGGTAGAACGAAAACAAATGAGCCAAGTTGTAATAAAAATAAATGCAAAAAGAGCAGAGGAAAATCAAGAGAATGATAATAGCACAATGTTTGCTGTTATAACCGACAAAGCTTTCCACAAAAACAGCAACAACAAACACATGTGAATTGTCACACAGCGGTTAGCCGACTAGCAATAACAAAGAACGCCCAAGAGACGGCGGTATTAAAGAGCGACGGAGAGAGTAAGCAAGAGAACAGACAAATGCATGTGGTCGAGAGAAAAACTTAACGGAAAAGTAAATCCAAAAGAACGAAAGGAACTTTGTTTTTGTTACGTCCTAATGGAAAACCCAAAGCTTGCTACTCTCTGCACGCCATACATGTGTGCGAGGGGCGATGAGAGAGTGCGAGAGAGCCTTTTGACTTAGAGTGGAAAATGACAAAGTTTTAATTGGAAAATCTTTTCACTTTTCAGTGGAGTAACGGCCACGGCTGAAATCGGACGTATTGACTCGAAACACAAGTGCGTGCGCGTTCTATGCGCCCAAAATTAAAGGTAGTTTATTTTTTGGCATTACCTTGAAACTGGGTGAAAATATATACTAAGTGGCAAGTGAAAAAAGATAATATAAAGTGAAAATTCTTACAATTCCTCTGTATTTTTCAAGAAAATTTAGCAACAACAGCAACCACAACAAATTGAAAAGTGTTAAAACAAAAAGAATATCTGGAAAATCTATTAAAAGTTAATTCATAAAAAAAATATTGAGAAAAAATTGTATCCAAAACCAATCAGTGATAGTTGCCTTGATTATGAATGCTGCTTCATAGTATCGAGTTTAAATACATCCACCCATCCATATATGATTGGATTTAAGTGTGTGCATGTGTAAATATTGCCAATGAAAAATATTCAATATTTTGAAAAAATAATAATATCCAAATAATACTAAATTCAATAGAATACCCATCAATAGAAGCGTGAAAGTGAAAAATCGTACAAAAGTGTAGTGTAGTGAAGTGAGTTAGTGTGTACACAAAAAAGGCCAATACCGAAAAATGTGTAATACATTTCCAGGCGCAACGATTCAAATCGCAAGTGTATTAAATGTGTATATTCTACGCTAAAAACAACAACAACAAAACGTCACAATAAGAACAACAACAAAAGTAGAAGCAGCAAGGAATTGTTAGTGGAAATGTAAATATTGAAAAACATACTTTGTAATTATCTTCTTGAATATTTTATCGAATCAATAATTTCTCAAATGTCTGCATTCAAATTCACCGAAGAAGGGAGAGAAAAAAGTTTGAAATTATAACAATAACAACAACAACAACAACGAAAAAATCAATCAATATTATTAGGCCTAAGATAATTCGTAGTCTGTCTCGATTCTACTCGATTCGGTTTTACAGGACCACCACTCTTTTCTCCATTCTACTCCATGTTTTTGTGTGGAATGTTGGTGTACCCCCGGTCGGTCCCAAACACCCACTCACATGATGATAACAACGCAAAATGACAAACACTAGGGCGAAAGCATTAAAGGGAAAACCAACAGAAAATTGTGGGACAATAACAATAAAAACAACAACAACAGTGGTGTCGACATCGAATACCAGCATATGAAACAAAACGAAGGAAAATCCACCCTCAAGTCATGTTTTGGTCACAATTTCCAAAGCATCCCGTCTTGTCTACTCTACAAACTTAACAGACAGGCAGCCAGCCTGCACCACCATTGAGCGAGCATAAAGAGGTATCGCCATACACGAAAAAGGGAAAAACTGTTATAACTCGAAAAACTTCGCTTCGTGATGGTCTAAACGTGAGTGAACATGCTCAACAAATCCCCATGAAAGGAAATAAGAAAAATATGTACAAAGTTTTTACAACGAAAAAAGGGAAATGGAGAAAACGAAGGAATTTGTGAAGCTCACTTCGTTGTTGTCACTGTCGTCGTCGTCGTCATCGTGGTTGTACTGGTTTTGGCTTCGTGGTGAATGAAATGTCGCATACACACACACACACTCATACACATGGACTGTAATCAAAAAAATAGAAAAGTATTACCAAAACATTCTCTATTTTTCTTTAATAACTCAAATCCAAATGTAAGGTCTAGCTGGCTGGAGTAGTGCCTCCATTGTCCCATCAGCCGAAAGACTTGAAAAATAGATTAGATTGTTGAGATACAAGAGACCAACATCTATAATGAGGTGGAGAGGATTGTTGTCGTTTGTTAAATTGCTGGTGGTAAATACGAGTATCTGCATGTGTGTGTGTATGTATCCTCTTATCCTTTTAAGAACATAACCACGTTTTTTTTTCTCTATATTTCCCTTTGTTTGCTCCGCTGTGGCTCAGTTTCTAATGCGCGACAAGTTTCCTTTAGTTTGGTGCCACTGCTGCAGCAGAGTAAATTAGACACACTCGCTTAGGATGGAAAGGTTGGCTGGTTGGTTGGTTGGTATGTTGTAGGCATAATGTGGCCACTTATTTTTATGGCGACAGTAACAATGGTGATGTAGGCAACCCCAAAAAGGGAAGCACTCAGCCGTAAAGAACTATTACTAGGATGTGTTCTTGTGCGGATGTGCAAGATTCCCCTGTGGCTTGTTTTGTAGGAAACGCTCGACCCACAGCGGGGCTGTATACCATCACATAATTAAACATTAGCTTGGGTTAGTTATACGCGTCGAGGCAACAAATTCTTATTACAAAAAATCAGGGGTTTTAGAAAGTTGAGAATAGCGGCATAGGCTAGACTGGACTGAAGAGTCACAAAAACAGTCACGGCTTTGAAAAAGGATATTTATAATTATTTTTTATGCAAAACTATTTGCAGACGTGTTTTAATGTGTAATTATTTAAATTTTTGATTCCTACTGCCTTATTGGGCTATATCCAAAAGCACGCCTATGCTGACATTTTTTTTGCAACAAGCTTTCCCGTCACTGGAAACTATGTTTAGTTGAAGTCAAGGTATTACCAAGGACATGGAAATATAATGATATGTCAGTTGGATTCACCTAATATTGCTTTAAAATTATATGTTTGATGTTAACATAGCTCTGCAATGAGCATTTCACATATTTATCGGAATTTTTTCTCATATTTTGTTTCAAGTAGTCTTTACGTTTTTATGTATATGCCATTACTTTTTCTTTCACCTGAAAGAAATTAAGGTTCATTTATTTATTTGAAATAAAAATAAAAAAAAATGATGTCCCATAAAACACTCATCATGACCCACCTCAATATACAGAGCACTATATGCAATTTACTTTTCTAAAATGTTTATGAACACTTCTAGCTTTATCTACAAATGAAAATTACTTTAATGCTGAGTGGTTAACTGCAAACAAAGTGGGTTATGAAATAAACCGCTTTATAAGGCCAAGCTGAATAGATCTTTTTTTAAAACCCTCCAATCGAAGAAGAAATTTACATTATGAAAACAGCCTCAAAGCAACACTGTTATATCTTAAAAAAGCAATATCTCTACCGATTTCAAAACTAGTTCAAATAAAGGAATCTAGGCCGCGATTCCAGTGAAAATGTTACAAACTTATCCAATTGCAGGTTAAATCGACAGAAAAGTCCCTGATAGGATCTTAGAAAAACTATCATACACTATAAATACTAATCCGCCGGCAAAGTCTTTCAGAAATGTGGGAAAGGACGGACAAAGCTTAATTCACATCAATTATTTAATTAATTGTTCGCAAATCAAAGTTCTTTCAAATATTAAGTAGTAAAGAATGCAAAGTGAGTTACAAATTCCATAAAATATATGTTGCGTGTTCCATAAGGGAAATCCAAGATTTCAAATCACCAGCTAGATTATTTTCTAGATTCAGTCTGAGACAGTTACCTTGCAATATAATGCTTAAATTTTCCCATTTATATGGATGATGTAGAGTGTCGAATTTTAAAAACATTTTTTCCTATCCTGCGTGCCACCAAAGCATTATAGTTATCATGTCCATTGCGAGTTCTGAATTTACCTTTTCGATTTCCAGAATGACGCACTGAAGGCGACATTTCCTGCGATTCTTAAACATGTATAATTTCTCTACAAGTAGTGTGGATATATGTTCGAAACACCAAAGCCGAAAACATCATATACCTGTATAAAACGTAGAAAATTATAAAACGTTATATACACCTAACATATTTTTATTGAAACTTCGCTGATCATAACTATCAAATCTGAACATGTAAAAAAAAACAGTAAGTTCGGCCGGATCGAACTTTGAATACCCTCCACCATTTCGAAGGAATTTGCGTATTCTCAAAAAATCCATAGAAAAATACTGAATACGAAGACCTGCATGTAAAATTTTCTGTCTGTCTGTGGTACCCATCCGGTGGATAACGTCGCTAAAATCGTCATAATACCGAATATAGGGTAAACCGCCATATGTGAATATACGAAGACATGGACCTGTATATGAAATTTTCTGTCATAGACTGTAGTACAAATTAGGAATTTAAAAAATGAAATTTTAAACAATTCCGGTGAACAATGTCGCTAAAATTATCAAGATATCCATTTTCAATACCAAACGTTGTGCAGACCTAACACTTATCTTAGTAAAGTTTTACCAACCTACTTTCTTTCGTTTGGAGGCTAGAGTGATATCCACAGACGGAAAGATGGACGGATGGGCATCGCTAAATCGACATAGAATTTTATGACGACCAAGAATATATATGTACTTTGTGGGGTCTAATATTTACATTTCGAGGTGAAACGAAGGGAATGAGAAACTTAATATATACAATATAATATATACTTAATATGATACAGGGTGAGATAAAAAAGTGCAACAAAGACAAACGCCATAATTTTTGCAGTTTTTAAGTTTTATAGAATAAAAGCAAAAAATGTCGGAAATAGCATCAAAATTTGTTCGAATCGGTTACCTTTGGTACGAATTATGCCCCTCAAACCGCCAATGAAACCAATACACGCTTTTCGAATGTTGCTCTGCGGTATTCTACCTATTCCCGACGAAGAGCTTGCTTTAGGTGATCGACACTTTGGCCTTTTTTAGTGCTAACCTTGCTCTCCAAAATACTCCAGACACAGTAGTCCAACGGATTGGTATCCGCATGTTTTGGTGGCCATTGTGCGCTAGAAATGAAGCGAGGAACCACATCTTGTAACCATTCTTGGATGGCGCGTTCTGAGTGTCCACCCTCCTGGCTTTAATACACCCTCCAGAATATTTTCGCTATAATATTCAGCATTTATTCTGATGCCACGGTCGATAATTAAGAGCAGAGAACGACCATCGGCGGCCCACACCATCACCATGGTCGGCGCATGAGTTCTGGTGGCCAAACCAAGGTGCACATTTTCAGGTGACCTCTTTAACAAATAAACACGATCATTTTGTTTCTTTAAAAACTGCTAGACAACGAATGTTTTCTCAGCAGAGAAAACCAAATTCGGCAGTTCACCACTTTCGACCAAGCGAAGCAACTCTTTAGCTCTTTTGAGTCTATTTTCTTTCTGTTGCGGTGTAAGTTCTTGCACTTTCTGGAATTTCAATGGCTTTACTCCGAGCTCATTTTTTCATGGCCATTTTTCGGCCACTACGTCGCTGGTTTCGGTCAAGTCGTTTCTTTACTTTTCGAACCATTTCTGCTGATTTTGCTGTTTTCTTCCGTTCATTTCCTTGACGTCGGGCTATGCTACCAGCATCACATTTAAATGCTTGAGTGCTCTAACGATCGCCACTTGTGGTTTTTCAGCCAAATATAAAGAAATCACACTTTTACGCTTGAATTCCCTCACGAATAACTTTTTTTCTCCTTTTGTACGCTTGTAAACAATATTATGAGGTGTCACTGGAATAATTTTGGCAGCTGTCGGACGAGTGTCTTAGAAATGACAGCAGTCTGAAGTTGGTTGCAGTTTTTTCATCTCACCCTGTACAAATGTCATATACGTAACAATTTCTGACAGGCTATCAATGCTTATATTTGCCTTTTAACAGGGCCTCAATTCTTTTTTTTTAAGACAATGTGAATTGAAAATATTTAGAAAGGGAATACAATCATTTCATATTTTTATAGAACTCTTGTTCCAGCCCAAAGCTGTAATCCGGTTGTGAACGAACAAGTTGTGCCTCCAAAATTAGGAATTTGTGTCGTAATGCAAACGAGGCTTTATTATTTATATT